CTGAATCATTTGAAAGTAAATTTCTACAAAATTATTTTAACGTCTGAATAGTGCCCTATTTTAAGCCTTATCACAATTTAACCTGTCTGTACTACCGGATATTTAGATTATTTCCAACAGTTTGATATTATAAATAACATTGTGATGAGCTTCTGTAACTAAATCTTTTTTCATGTCCTAAATTCTTTAAGATAAATTCCAATAAGCATCATCGTTGAGTCAAAAGACAGTCATAGTTTTAAGGTTTTGGTATGTATTGCCAGGTTGCCTCTCAGACAGGCATATCTGTCTATACTTTCAGTAGCAAAGTTGAATAATACCCTTGTTCTTATACCTCTGCCAATATTATTATTTTTATCTGTGATATTTCGAGTAAGCAGAAAAAAAAGGGTATTCATCTCATTTTTTTTAATGAGCATTTGTTCATAAATATGGTTGATCTTCATCAGTATGTTCATTAACCATTAATAAGGAGACTTACTGCCCAAAACTGATCACAGGAAGTCATTAGTAAGTACTGAGGCAACTGTCTCACAGTCTCTTACAAAGGCTGTCCTCTCTTCATATCTGCTCAGGTCTCTGTTTCCCCAAGTTCAAATTGTCAAAAGAAGAATCTGATATAACCTTTTCATGTTAGGTCCTATCCCTGGCCGGGCTATGGGCTAGCTAACTGGAAGTTTAGAGTGGAATTTAGAGACTGAATCCTATCACACACCTCTCATTTCCTCCAAGTTTTGCACAATGAAAATAGATCACAGCCAAATGGGAATCCAATGTCAGCTGTCTTCATGGTTGGTCAGGTACCACAAATATACACTTGTAGGGCTCTCTGTTATTGGCCAGATGGGAGATGGCAGTGAGGTCACTCCCCCAGTCTCCTGATTTGAAGAGAGTTTGGCTGATAGCACAGGCCTGATCAGAATTACATCCCCTTTCCATTCCTAATCACAGGCAGAGAAACCAGAAACGAGAAAATGGTGTACTGTAAGGCAGAAGAGCCAGCCTGTCTGCCTTTCAGTTCACTGACTGTGCACAATTTCTCTGGACTACAGCTGGACCATAGTCCAGTGAATTTCACAGATCATAACTAATCATATCACTCTTTCTTCCTCCCTGTGGAGACCAGATATGTTTATATCTGATATTCTCTGTGACAGGCATTTTTCATTTTTGGCTACCCAGTATCTAAACACACTTTCTATTTGAGGGAACTCCAATAACAAAGCTCAAGTGTGGGCAAATAACCCCTTTCCCAGCTCCCTTGTCTCTAAAATTTATATGTAAGCTTCCAACCAGATACTCCTACCAAAGACCTTGACTTTGGAGTAAGCAACGCAGAGATACAAATGCAGTTTAGAAGGTAGAGGAAGCAAATGTCCAATGATGGCCATGCCAGTGACAGAGCTATTGGATACTAAGCAGTTTCCTCCTATGTATTGAGTTGGTCTCTATTTTTGGCAACCTAATTTCCCATGGCTCCTGTACATTCTAAACCTCGTTCTTCAGCTTTTCCATCAATTTGTGAGCTATCCAGCATCATTTTGACACATTCTTTTTCTAACTAATCAGAGCTGGTCTCCATTGTTTAGGAAACCTGGAAATCTGATTATCTTTTGCACAGAAGTCACCTTTTCTATGGAAATAAACAGATAAGGTAGTGGAGTGCCTCCCTGTCAGTTACTCCTGCGTCGGGTGGCCAGCTGTAGTCCAGAAGAACTTACTATCCTGACTTTTGTGGTAATCACTCCTATGCTTTTCTTTATAGTTTTAACCACTGTATATGTATCCCTAAACAATTTAATTTCATTTAGGCTGATTTTGGACTTAAGATGAATGAATCATATATTCTTTTGTGCCTTACTTCTTTCGCTTGATGTTTATGATATTTATCCATGTTGCCCACACCCACACTAGAGCTGCAATTTGTTCATTTCCATTGCTGTAAAGTACCCTATTGTAAGAATATTTATTCTACTGTAGATAGATACTGTGTTGTATTTAGTGTGGGACAATAATAAACAACACCGCTTTGACTATTCTGGTACATGTATCCTAGGGGATCTTTAAGGGCATCTATCTGACAGAATAACAGTCATGGGATATGTGTATCTTTGACTTTTTCTAGATGATGCCAAACTATTTTCCAAAGTGAATACACCAACTCACCACCAACAGTCTTTGAGAATTTCTGCTGTACTACACCCTCACCAACTAGTGTTATCAAAGTGTTTATTTAACTTTAGCCTCCTCGGAAGATGGCTAATGATATCTCACTGTGGTTACAATTTTTAAGTCCCTGATTAATAATGAAGTTGAGCATATTTGCAAATGTTTATTGATCATTTATAGTTTTTCTTTGGTAAAGTCCCAATTCAAATCTTTTGCCCATTTTTCCAATATGTTTATCTCTTACCAATTTGAGTTTTCGTATGTTGTGAAGACTAGTCCTTTATTAATTATATATGTAGCAAATATCTTCTCTCACGCTGTACCTTGTTTTATTTTGCTTGTTTTACGATACCTTTTGATGAACAAAAATCCTTTATTTTAATATAGTCAAATGTATCAATCTTTTCATTTATAATTGGTACTTTTTATAACTTTTTAGAATTCTTTCTTTACCTTTGAAGTCATAAAGATATTCTCCTATATTATTTTCTAAAAGCTTTAAATGTCTTTCACATTTAAGCCTAGAAATAATTTTTGTGTGTAGCATAGGAAAAAAAATTTTTCCCGTATAGATACTCAACAGTCCCAGCAGCATTTATTGAGAAGCCCTACTGCATCTCTGTCATACACAAAGTATCTATGTGACCTTGATGAACTCTGCTTCTGTTTTAAAAGTCCTAAATCTTGACATAATTACTTTTGCTAGAGAAACTATGATTGAACCAGACTATATGGTGTTGTCAGGTATTGGTGGGGTGCGGGGGGGAATACAAACAATTCAAACGAACCACCACCACCAAGAAAATACCACTGTTCCTGTCTTATAAAACTTATAGACTAGTTGGGAAGAGAAATCACATGAATAAATATACAATTACTATGGTGTGTGTCATGAAACAAGTACATGAAGACCACAGCAGGAAGAATGATTTATTCCAGAATTTCAGAGAAAGTGATCAGAAGGAAGAGGGCTAGATTGTTCTAGGTAGAGGGAATAACTTGGTCAAAGTCCCTGTGGCAGAAAGGAGCATTGCTCACTGACTGACAAGGCTAGTATGGCTAGAGAGAGAGAGCACAGTGTGACATGAGAATGAAAATGTAGGTAGGGCAAAACCATGCACATTATCGTAGACTATGTTAAATAGTTTATGTTTTATCTTAAGTGCCATTAAAAGCCATTTAAATGTCTTAAGGGAGTGAGGAGGGGTAAAGTAGACATGAACAAATTTGTATCTGGAAAAGATCACTGTGAGTGTACTGTAGAAAACAGACTGGAGTTGCGCCTAAGTGATTGCAAGAAGATACACTGAGTTTTAAACTGATTTCCAACTGACAGAGCTTTATACATTCCTGCCCCCCTACTTTCCCAGGTTATATTGAAAAGAAAAATCAATTAAATGAATGAAAAAAGCTTTTGGATGAGTGATTATTTGCTCTGTAAAATGGCTCACTTATTTTGCAAATTTTTTCCCACTGATTAGTCTGTAATTTGAGTAGATCCACTTGCTCTTTACAGAAGTCAGGAAAATAAGGCAACAGGGTATCTACACATTCTATAAGGCCTTAAAGGATGAGACCTCGACAATTGGTTAGTTTCTGGGTCTCATCTCTAGATGTCTCATGGCTTTAAATACCATCATCACCCTGATGACTCTCAAATTTATATCTCTAGTCCGCACTTCTACCCTGAACCTCAGTGTCTAAATCTAATTGTCTACTCAATCTCTCCATTTGGACGTCTAAGATTTCAAACTCAACACGAAAAAACAAAATTCCTGATTTCTGCCTTCAAAAATCTCTTCTACAACACAGTTCTTCCCGAGTTGCTCACAATGTCTCTTTTATCTCATACACATCTACATATTAACAAATTTTATCAGACATTCTACTTCTGAAATATGTTCAGAGTTCAATTCACTTTTTACCACCTCAATCGCTACCATTCTGGCCCAAACCACTATCACTATTGATTATTGCAGTTAATTTCCTGATATCACTTTTCACTAATTAATGTATTTATTTTCATCTGGCTCCCTCTATGAAATCTCTGGGAGACAAAGGACCTGTCTCATTTAGTGCCATGAACCCTAGGCAACCTCGCAGATAATCCACAAATACTTGCTGGAATAAATAAATATTGTACACCACCACATATGCAGTCATTCACTTAAAGCGATGTTTGGGTGTGTGAAAATTGATGGTAGGGGGCTTTTACAAATGATGGTAGGGGGGCTTTTTAAAAATGTTGTGGCGCGAATGATTCTGAGACCCACGGAGCTAATTGAGATTAATTATGAGCCTTTAGTAGCCAGCCGGCAACTGACTCTCTACCACGCAGGGTTAGCAGGGTTAGAAGGGTTAGAAGAGATCAGCCCCGAGCTTCTAGAAGAGGCAGCTTATAAAGCCTCCTACTACATCCTTGAATAAGCAGATTACAAGAAGCAGAAGTTAGCCATTAACGTTTTGTACAAAGGTAAATGTATCCGGGGAGCTCTCAGATCAAACAAGGCCTAGTAGACAGTTTTATTATTTTCACCTTGGAATGTTGCACTTCTCCTGGGGCTGGCACCTGGAGATATCGCCTCCCTGTGACTGAGTTACTGCTTTCACCTCGAGATACTGCCTCCCTGAAACTGGAGAATTTCCACTTTTACAAAAATACTCTAAGACAAAGCTGTGAATGGAAAGTGGGTTCAGCTGGTTGATGCAGTTTCCCTCAGCAAGCAGGTTTTCCATGTAAGCCAACAACCCTCCATTTTGGGTGAACTGGGGGTGTAAAGCTTCGCACTCCACTCCACACCTCACCCTTAGCCGACCACCTAACAGCCTCAGCCTCGTGTTCTTAGAGCAATGGGCGAGCCCACTGGGCTTCGGGTGGAAAATGCCCTTAACACTCTCCAGGTCCTCACAGATGACAATGGATCCTAGGCCATTTGGGTGATTTTAACCGGACAGCAAAAGGGGCACACTTCTCGTTGACATTTTCCACTGTCCTTGTAACTTAAAATCAAAAGTCAAATCACTTTCAGAGACTGACTCTTCAACCTGGCTACCGGTTAAGGAGAAGAGCGCACGCCGCAGAGAGAGACGGTATTCCCCGCTAGCCTCTGGGGCTGATGGGAAGCAAAATCGGCGTCAGTTACCCCGACCCAAAATGGCAGGTTACTCCGTCGCGAAATAAAGATGAGAGGGCTGTTGGGAGACGTCACAATGAGAAGAGAGAATGAGAGCATCATTTTCTTGCTCCAACATGCAGGCGGAAGTTACAGAAGAGAGACTAGGTAAAGACGACGAAGCACCCAGATGGCAGAAACAGCACGCCAGGCGAGGGTGCCCAAAGGCGACACCGACCCGACCCAAGATGGCGCCGGACGTTATTACCGCGGAACGCAAAGGAGGCGGTGACCATCCCGATCCAAGATGGCGGCGCCGGTTGAGGCAAGTCGAGGGGCGGGAAGCACAGGGAGCGTCATTGCCCTCCTTCGAGATGGCGGCCGCCGTGGGCGCTGTCCCTGGCCCCGCCCTGCGGCCTCAGCCCCGCCTCCTTCGCCCCTCCCACCGCCCCCTCGCAGTGCCAAGTCCGGGTGGTGGTGCTCGCGCTAGGACAGCGTGCTCCTGGCACTTGACATGGCGGCAGCGGCGGCAACTGCAGCGACCAAGGGGAATGGGGGCGCTGGGGGCCGGGCCGGAGCCAGCGAAGCCAGCGGCGCGCGGAAGAAGAAGGGCCCGGGGCCTTTGGCCACGGCGTACCTGGTCATCTACAATGTGGTGATGACAGCGGGGTGAGACTGAGGCTCAGGGAGGCGGGAGCAAGCCTGGCGAGTTAGGGGGCTCTGCCGCCAGCGGAGCGGCCGGGCCTGGCCCACCGCACGCAGTGCAGCCCCGGCGGTCGGCGTGCGGGACCTGGCACCTGGGTCTAAGGGCAGCAGAGCGCTGAACGGCCCCGGTGCCTGCTCGGAACTCCATCCTGGGCGTTGTTTCCGAGCAAGTTCCCAGGCAGCGGGTGTGCCCCGTTGCTGGAGTTCGGGGCTCCAGCGGGGAAACGGGAAGGCTACCCAGGCGCAGGTCTGGAGGGCCTTAGGAGGAAGGGTGGGCTGGTCACAGGTCCAGGTCTGGGGGGGCGGTATGCCGAGCGATCCTGCAGCGTGGGGAGCCTAGACAGCCAGTCACGAATGGCGAGCTCTTTACCCCAAGGGGAGTGGAGAAAGCTGTGGCTGCAGAGTGACCATTTATTTAGGCGCTGTTTTCAAAATCCAGGCTGAGCTATAATCTGAAAGGTAATGGAAGAGCTTTCAAAGTTTTTGACCAGTGACACGAGCAGAGGTGTGCTTAGATGAGTTTAGACTTTTTTTTAGGGTAGATTGGGGAGGAGAGGGAATAGATCCACCAACGGGTTTTACTGCTCTTTTTTCTCCCTCATTTCAGTCCATCCCTTGTCACAGCCAGTTTTTAGTTCTAGTTCTGACACTAGCTAGCTGTGTGGCCTTGGATAAATTACTTTATTTCTCTTGGCCTCCGTTTTTTCATCTGTAAAACTAAAGAGTTGGGCTAGCGGGTAGCCAAGCTTCCTCCACTTTGATCCCATGGTTTTTGGTGAGGAAGATCACAAGATCAGACTATTATTATTATTTTTTAATTTTATTCCTTTGTAAAATATTTTCTTTAACATTTTACTATGAAAATTTTCAAACATACAGTAAACTTGAAAAAACTGTATAGTGAACGTCCATTTTTACTTATTTTTACAATAGGCAATACATTGGCAGGGTGCAAAATTCAAAATATGTACAAGGGCATACAGTGAAAATCTTCCCTCTCAGCCTTCCTTTCCACCCAGATCCGCTCTCTGGAGGCTGCTTATTTTGTGTATCTTTCAGATGCTGATACAAGCAAATATAAATATAAATATAAATATGCATCCCCCCAACCCATGTGCACCCTTTTTTAAACACAAATGCTAATGTCATATTGACATTTCAGCACCTTGTTTGTTTCACACACACATACAAAATATCTTGAGAGAACCATAGGCTTTATTGATAAAATTAGAAATGGCCAGTATTGAAACCGAGGCTCAGAGAAGTTGTGACTTGCTTAACTTGTTTGAAATCACAGAATTGTCAGTGTTAGACCTGTGTCTAAACCTTTCTCTTGACTCACTGAAGAAATATTACAAGTTTTATTACATAAACAGTCAATGATTTTAAAAGAATATCCAGAACCCTGTGTATTTGTATTTATATGTAAAATTCTTGCCTTAGCAAGGGCATTGATGAGAGCTTTGAACCTGAAGAGGGATTTTAAGGTACACTGAGGAAGAAAAAAAGTCATTATTCCTGGGCAATGAACATAGAGAGATGGGTGGAGGGTAAGTAGTAATCTCTTAAACCAGGTGGAGAAATTGGAATTGTGAGAGTAAAGTAAGCGTTTCCAGGCTTCCAGTTACACCATTAATGAGTTCATTTCTTTTACAAACTCTTTTTTGATGTTATTGTATGACAGTTTCTAGAAATAACATAGAGGACACACATACCTGATTACCAATTTAAGATTATACACATAGGTAAATCTATTACTGCCTTGAAAGAGACATACATTAATAAAGGGCTATGCATTTCATTATGGAACTTAAAAAATTACAGGGCCTACGAAATTTATTTTTAAGGACAGTAGAACAGAAATGTAATGTTTACAGTGGTATTTTGAAGTGCTTTCCTGTTTTACATTTTGTATTGATCGGAGTTTCTTTACTGAATTGATTTTGGGAAATTCAGCTTTAAAAAGCCCTTTTATTTATTTATTTTTAAAAATCCTTCTATTCTTCATTTGCAACTTCAGGATAGATTTTAAAGTATGGGTGTGTTCCAGTGAGATACTTGCAAAAATAGTTTAAAACATCTTTTCTCCACCCTATTATTATTACAGACTTTTTAACTGCACAGGCCATTTAAATTTTTCCTTTAACACTTTTTTTTTTCCCCCTCTTGTCTTAGGCTTTCTGGCACTTAATTTAGTTGCTCAAGGACCAATTTAGCTTATTCCCTTTATTTTGGCCTTGTTCTCAACAGGCAAGTTTGCCAAAAAGCCGAGCTCCAGATGGGTGAGGTGCCACTGTGCTTTTGCAGACACTCTTGGTATAGTGCAACATTTTTGTGCTTTGGCATTTGAGAGCTATAGTTGATAAATTCAGGACATTGATTCTTGAGGTCACCTTTAGCAGTATCTGTTGTTACTACATCTTTCCGTTACCTTAGATTTTACTTACCTTTTTTTTTTCCTGATCTTTTTTCTCTTTTTTCTTAGGTGGCTTGTTATAGCAGTTGGTCTGGTCAGAGCATACCTGGCTAAGGGTAGCTATCATAGCCTTTATTATTCCATTGAAAAGCCTTTGAAATTCTTCCAAACTGGAGCCTTATTGGAGGTGGGTCCTGAGATTTCTTGTTGTTGATTTCTATTGTTATAAAATAAAGTGCTATTAAATTATATTGAGGTAACCATATCTCTTTTGGTTTTGCTTTAAATTTTGAAAATTTGCCTCAGCGTACTATAATGTTGATAACTAGACCGTCTTTTTGATGTTCTAGATAAAGTAATATCTCATTTAACTTGTATTACCTGGAATATATTTTACATTCAACTATCATTGGAAATCAAGTGAACAGCAATTTATATTGGGATTTTTTTTTTAATTCTAGGGACATCCTAGGGAAGTGTTAGCAAACTCAGATACTTTCTGGGGCCAGGCATATAAGGGAACCAGTAAAATTGTTGGGTGTTAGATGTCAGAAGTGATAGATGTAAAAATGGTAGAGTCTGTCTAAATTTTAAAAATTAATATTAAATCTGAATTTTGAAAAAAAAGCTTATAAATTTTTCAGTATTAGGGGTAATGTATCTCCAGTACTCTCTCCTGGGGTCAGCTTATATTAGGATTTTTGAGTTGCAAGTAACAGAAACCCAATTCAAACTATTTCAAGCAAAAGAGGAATTTACTGGCTTCTGTAGTTGGTAAAGATATAGATTTAACTTACAAAATCAAAGGAACCAACTCAGGAATGAGAACCAAGGATTTGACATTGCCACACTCCTTCCATCTCTTTAGTGCATCTCTCTCTTTCTTGTTGAATGTTGATCTTAGGCTCTCCTACTGCAGACAGCCTTCTCCATATGGTAGGAAATGGTGAGGGAGTTTATTTTTTTCAGTATCTGTGTCACAGTTCTGGGGAAGGATTCTGGCTGGCCGTACTGATTAGACCAGTCATTCTTGCCAATGATTTGGCAGGTCAAAGATACATGCTCATCCTCTAGCCAGGGGACTATAGACTTTGTTAATGGAAAGGAGAAATGGGAATAGCTTTGGGCACAAAGTCAATAGCTGCCATAGTTCACTGTGGTAAAAAACCTCAGGTTGAAGAAAGCTGGTATTCTGTTTCATGTCACTTAGCCTCCAGGGCAAGCCCCTCATGACATTCAGAAAGATATTTAAGAAAAAAAAAGTTTACTTCCATGAAATGAGATATATACCTCACTCTCTCACCCTCTCCTTTGAAAGCAGAAAATTATAGTTTTTTTGTTTGTTTGTTTGTTTGTTTTCCCCTTTCCCAGGAAGAGAGAGATTTCAGTGCTGTTCATACTTAACACATTTTCGGTATATGGTGTGATGAAATGAGCTTCCAGCTGATGTCTGAGTACCCTTATTCTAAGTAGAGTGGTTTTACCAACTTACTCTGTGAATTTGGTCAAGTCATTTATCTCTTGTTCATCTCATTTTCTCATTTGTAAAATAATTGAGTTAAAGTAGATTTCCAAAGCCCCTTCTGCCCTAATAGTTTGAGGCTGAGGAAACTATCAGATACTAGTGTGGGCAATTTTTGAACTTAGTCTTGAATTTTTTAGAAGGGAGCAGTAGTGAGTAGGACTTTGTCTTCCAGAGCTTTGGCCAACAGTTCTCTCAAGCTGTAGAAAAGCAAGTTTGGGGTCAAGACCATCAGAAACTGCCCCAGTGCTTAATACATTAAGAAATTGGAATACGCCCATCCCTCGATTTATGCGGATTATCTTTTCCACACATCTTTTTTTTTTTTTTACATGGAAGAAAACTGCGTAAAAAGTCTACCAATATGAAAAAAAATACTAAAGAAATATGCTGATATAAGTCATAAAAAAATATTTACTGTATATGAAGAAAATTTTGAGTTTGCTAAGGATCCAGATGTCACACTACTTCTAATACTTTCCTCTATTTTTTTTATTGTTCGGACTGCGGATTTCTCATACGATTCAGCGATTGATGAAGGTTTTTCTCATTTTTCAAGTTGATTTAAAATTTCCATTTTCATATCCAAAGATACAGATTTTCACTTCTTCGTTTTTATTAAATATTTTCTAGGCATTTCTGACTTGCGAGTATAAAAACAAAGGTCGGCTTTCCCATTTTTCTTGGGTAGTATTTTTGATGATCAAACAATTTTTGTGCACACGGAGACACATTGTTAATACTCACATGGCTATTTGTTATACTTTATGTGGCGTCAGTTCCAGGTTTTCAGTTTTCTTAAAAAATCGATTTTTTTTTTTACCTCTACTGATATATGTCCCTTTTAAAAATGTTATAAGTAAAAACAGCTCATATATAATATTGGTTACTTGTGCTTACTTACACTTAGTTATGTATTATCTTTAAGTGCTAATGATGTAAGCACAAAGTAACATGCATAAAAGTTAGAATATCTGTAATTGAATTATGATGCAATTGGTGTGTCATGCCAAATCCTACAGCTACCGATTACTGATTTAACAGTTTGTTAAATTAGTTTCAACTGTAACCAATGTGGTTCAACAATCAATTTTCAAATGTTCCAGTGATAATTGTGTGTTAGTATGTATTAGTTCTTTGTACATTGCCGAGTTAGGCTATTGTTTTTTAGAAAGAGTAATTGCCAATAATGGAAATGAAAAAGAACCGCATAAAATGAGACCACATAAATAGAAACAGCATATAAAAAGGTCTGTGTAAACAGGGGGAGTATTTACTGCTTATCAAAAAACTTGCGTAAATTGAAGGGCGGGTGTATTTCAACAATTTAAAGGGAATTCTGTCTCTAAGAATTTATATTATTGGAGGTATTTTTAGAATTTAAGTATATCTTAGGGAAGGTAGTGACATTAAATAGTGTGATACACAATCCACTCAGGAACCAAATCTTAGACTTTGAAGGACAAGCCCGTATATCTCTATAGAATTTTTAATAGGCGTTTAAGAAAATATTTTGGAGTTTTGGTTTTATCTCTTTCATTCCCACTGAGAACCAAATAGGTGACAAATCATGGGTTTGATTTTGGAAAAAGAACTCTCACAAGGAAGTGAAGACTCCCAAGAATATGCAGAGAATTAGCCTCCCATATGTCTGTGATGGCAGAAATCCCCTTAACCTGGGGCAGTAGAGAAGGCTTACTAAAACTTTACTTCCTGAGTTGTCGGTTAAGGAGTGTTTCATTGCCTAGCAACTTACATTATATGATAATTACATGTGGACAGTATTCTTTAATTACAAATAAGTTAACCTTATGGGAACTTTTAGTGCTTGACAATATAGCTGTTTAGAGGAGGAGAAAATGAATGCAGGGAGGTCAGCTACTCATTTGTATCAAAATACTGAATGTTGTTCTTTCGTAGGTTCTGTGGGCATTTGCTTAAAAAGCAAACATAGAATATTTGTTCTCGAAAAACTTCAGATCTTAGGAAAATAAAACACTTTGCTTTTTAACAGATTTCAGAACATTTACCAAGCAAGTGCAAATGGGCATATAGTAGTGTAATACAAAAAGACAATTTTGTTTTTTAAGAAACTAAATGATTTGCAAAATAGGTACAAAGATACATTGATTTGGTGTTACAATAATATAGCTTTTTATTAAATGGACATAAATTCTAATTTTTTTGTACATACTGATCCGAGAATGTCTTGAATATTTTTAATAGATAACTTTCCAAATTATTCCATGGGTGATAATTTAAATATGTATTTGAGTCATTGTAATGGGTGCTATGGAGGTTGAGCCTTAGCTAATAAAAAGCTTAAAATCTTGTTGGGTAGGTGATTAAAATAGGACCCTTGGCTGGAAATTACAGAAACCTCCTTAACTAACTTACACAATAAGGAAGATTCATTATAAGATAGAGGATGTCCCGTGGAATCCAGGCACAGGGATGCCACTGGGCCTTACGAAGGGCCTACAGTCAGGGCCTGGAGTACCGTAGGGAACCCAGAACTTCTGGCTCTGTCTCTTGTCTCTGCTATTCTCTTTGTCTCTGATAGTTTCTTGTGATCTTGCAGACTAGTTTTTTGAGTTTCTTAGTCTACATGGCAGACAGTGGTAACAGAAAAACTCCTGAGATTGTAGCTCCTGCAATCAAGAGAACAGCTAGTTAGAATCTTAATCCCAATTCCACATTTCAAGTAAAGGGCCTGTTTTATCCAGTTTGAGTTGGTGCCCATTCTGGACCAATCACCTGTACCCAGGAGCAAGGTCACATTAACTATATCGAAGTTGGAGAGAAGGGACAGTTACTAGAAAAAGAGATGGTAGGTAGAAAGCTCAAGAAGTATTTACCAAAGTACTGAGACACAGTAAAGATAATAATGTATGAGATGGTTTATAAATTGGCAGAAAGTAAAATGCTCATAATCCTGTGGCCAAGAGATCAGTGTGTAAACAGATATAGTGTGTGTTGTATTGATCTTGAGTAATCCTGAGAGCTAATTAACATAGCTAGCAAAAATATATTTTAAAGATGCCATCAATAGATAAACAAAATGTGTTGTCTCCATATGCAAGATGAATGAATTACTGGTACACATTATAACATGGATGGATCTTAAAAACATATTTGGAAGAAGCCAAACATACAGAAAAACACATACTGTGTGATTTCATTTATGAAATGTCCAGAATAGGCAAGTCCATGGAGACAGATAGTAGATTAGTGGTTGCCAAGGACTGTGGGGAGAAGAGAATGGCGAGTGACTGCTAATGGGTACAAGGTTTCTTTTTAAGGTGATGAAAATATTCTTGAATTGGATAGTGGTGACAAGTTGCACAACCTCGTGAACATACTAAAACCCACTGAATTGTATACTTTAAATGGGTAGATTTTATGGTGTGTGAATTATATCTCAATTTCTTTTTTTAAATGTCATTTATCTATAATGAGCTGTGGGTAAGTTTTTACTTCATTCTTTTTTTTTTGTATCCATGATATTCATAGATAAAGACAGATTCTTATGTTTCCAGCTTTGTTAGAATTGAATTAAAGATTAGAAATTAGTAGATCGATGCTGTGTTATGGCAGTTTAAAATTATTTTTGAGAGAATTTGGATTTCTAAATATGTTTAGTTAACATAAGACTGTAATTATAG